GGGGGGGAGTGCATGTTAAACTCTGCGTTTCAAAACTCTCAAACACAACATTCATCAGACTGAGTGAGATCTCCCGGAGACGTCCTGCATACAACAGAAGCTATCCACCTTACCTTGGCCGAAAATTGCCCTTCCCTTCGACATCTCACGATACAAAAGGAAAGACAAAGTAAAATGCATTAAAAAGATCTAAGCATAGTAAGTGAGTTAAACTAAGTGCACTCAAAATGCTCACCTTCCGAATGTCCGTGTCCTTTGATGTTGAGTTTCGTCTGCTTCACGTCTAGCATCATGTGAGCAGCCGCTGTGGCCTCGATAGGGTAGCCGAGATCGCCACGACCCGATCCCCGACACGGGAACCCCTGCTTGTCTGAGTCGCCTCCCCTCATAGTGTTCGCGTACGAAAATGTCTGTCAAAGAATAGAAGATGATATAGGTTATAACTGTGATTATTTGAAGTTAGTTTGATTCGTTGCTTATTTTATTGTTGTGTCGTTTTGTTTTGTTGTGGATTGGTTCGGGGTTTTCTTGTTTGTTTGTTTGTTTTTTTGTTTGTTGCTTGTTTGAGATTGTTTTCTTGTTGGGTTTTTTGTTGTTGTTGTTGTTTTTCTTTTGCTTGTTCAAAAGAAAAGAAGAACATAGAAACGATGCCTCTGTTTGATCGTGTGAAGTGAAACAGTGAACCGACGCGACAACATTTATTTTAGTGAGAGGAAAACCGAAAGGACAACCGAAAGGACAAACGAGGTGGACAGGCAGAAACATTCCAGTACAGAGAAAATAACAGAAGAAAGAGATACCACTGGTGCTCCTAAAACACTGTACCGCTTGGTTTGCTTTTGTGTTGAAGAATAACAATATGTATTGACAGTTTGCAAGCAAAATGATAGGGGACAGAAATGACAACATTAGGAACAAGATGGGGAAAAGAGATGGGGAGGGGAAAGGGGGAGGGGGGGCATGCCAGCGAGAGCCCCTTGACACCCGCGAGTTTGGGAGTATTTACAGCACTGCATACGAACAGTGTTGCTTTCGTAACATAGATAGATAGATTGATAGATAGATAGAGATAGATAGATAGATAGATAGATAGAGATAGATAGATAGATAGAT